CACCCACCCCCGCTGCCCGCCGCCCACCTACGACCCTCGAGGGCAGTCACGTGGACCTCCCCAAATCTCAAAAGGTAGGTTCCAGGTTCCAACATCCATCGGGCCCCCAGACCGCGAGGGTAGGGATGGGGGCCCCACCTCCGCACATCTGCGCGGAGCTCCAGATTGTAGGGCGGGGCGGCACTTCTCGGAAAGCGAAAGCCGGCGGGGCGGGGCGGGGTGGGAACCGCAGGGGAAAGAGGAAGTGCAGGGTGGCTAAGCGACCCGACAGCGCAGAGGCTCCAGGGCGGCCCGCCATGGCTGCAGGAGGTCCCGGCGTGGGGTCCCCGACCCCTGCCTCTTCCACGGCCTACCTACCTCTGGCTGCGCTCAACATGCGAGTGCGGCGCCGCCTGTCGCTGTTTTTGAATGTGCGGACACCTGTGGCGGCCGACTGGACTGCTCTAGCGGAGGAGATGGGCTTTGAGTACTTGGAGATCCGACAGCTGGAGACGTTCGCCGACCCTACGGGCAGACTGTTGGAAGCCTGGCAGGGACGCCCCGACGCCTCGGTAGGCCGACTGCTCGAGCTGCTCGCCAAGCTGGGCCGCGACGACGTGCTGGTAGAGCTGAGCCCCAGCATTGGTGCGTACTCTCCCTTCCTGGCCTCGTACCGGGGCGGGGGTTGGGGGCGGGTTAGGAGGCTGACCTCCACCTGCCTCAACATCCAGTTTTCTCTGGAGAGGCCCCCGTTTCCTGCCTGGGCGTCTGGAGAAGCCTGCGGAGGAAGAACTGTGCGGGTCCAGTTCCCTCTCAATATCCAGGACATGATAGGGACGGGAGAAGGGCTGCGAAGGCCCGAAGAGGCAGAGACGGGAAGGAAGCAGCTTAGGCAAAGGCTTTCAGGTAGGGACAGGAGTTAGAATCAGGCTTCTCTGGGGGCATCTGGGCTGTTTTAAGTAGGGTAACAGGGCAGGTGAGGGACTGGAAGCTGACTGACTTGGAAACCTCAGGTCCTGGGAAAATGCAGCCCCTTCTGCTTTTCACCGGCACTTACATAATATACATGCATAGGCATTAGGTACAGCTGCCCACGGACAGGCACACGTTGCTGGGTTGCGGCCCGCACTGCCCTCATTGCACCATAATGACTGGGTCTCCTGAGCCCTTCTTGCATGCCAAGCCCCTTGCTCTCACATCGACCTTGGATCCTAGAATAAGGCAACTTACATTAGTTCATTCTTAGAGCCCTAGAGAGGGACAGAGAAGTATAAGCCTCAGCTTAGTGGCTTCCCAGATAGCCAGAACACCATTGGCATCCCTTTGGGACAGTCAGAGCCAGTGGGAGGTCAACTTCTCAGAGCTGTCAAGCTGCTGATAGCACCAGTGGGCTGGAGAAGCCTTGGAACACAACAAGGCCAGAAGAGGTGGGACAGGGGCTGGATCCTGACTGTGGGTAGAGGGGTGGGGTACTCCTGGGGAGCCTGCCACACCCTGTCTCTTCCCTTCAGAGGAGGATTGCCAAAAATATATTCGGAAGCAGCAACAGGAAGAGTCTGAGAAGCCCTTGCAGGTGGCCGCTGTAGACAGCAGTGTCCCACGGACAGTGGAGCTGGCAGGCATTACCACACTCGATGACCCCCTCGGTAAGGATCCAATACTATTCCATGGGACAGGTGGAACAGGTGGGCCATAGGACATTGTGGTGTTAAAAGCATGGATGTTGGAAACAGATGGGCTGTGGGACCATGGTCAAGTCACTTAATGTTTTTGAGCCTCAGGGTTGCTATGAGACTCATGAAATGATGTGTCTGTCTTATGGTTAATCCAGAGCTTGGTCCCCAGGGGTACTCATCTTTCCTTTCCTGGGAAGGGCATTTTCTCTGATTAGTCATCTTGAGATGGGTGTAGGGCCCAGGACCAGGGTTGCCTAGGCTGAGGACTCTTGGCTAGGTTCCTCTCCAGCCTTTCTTTGGAGCTCTAACCATCACCTTTGTGCTTTGCACCCAGGGCAAATGCCCGAGCGTTTTGATGCCTTCATCTGCTACTGCCCCAACGACATTCAGTTTGTACAGGAGATGATCCGGCAACTGGAACAGACAAACTACCGGCTGAAGTTGTGTGTGTCCGACCGTGATGTCCTGCCTGGCACCTGTGTCTGGTCCATTGCCAGTGAGCTCATTGAGAAGAGGTTGGCTGGGGGACCAAAGGGTGGGTAGGTGGGTGGCTGCATGAAACCCAGGGGTCCACATGCTGGGTGTCTTCTTCCAGCTGGGCACTGTCTAGCCTGGACACAGTGAGCCCCTCCTGAGGCTGTCCCCCGGGTGTATGCTGAAAACAGTGTCTGCAGAACCTGCAGCCTGCCACTTTCCCCTAGGTGCCGCCGGATGGTGGTAGTTGTCTCTGATGATTACCTACAGAGTAAGGAATGTGACTTCCAGACCAAATTTGCACTTAGCCTCTCTCCAGGTAAGCTTAACCTTGCCCCGGCCAGAGAGAAGTGGGTGGGTGGGGCCTCAGGATGCCAGTTTTCCCTCCACAAAGGCTATGGATGCAGCACGAAGGAACTCCTGCAGGTCTCTGCACACCTGAGCATTGTGTACACGTGTGTGCCTCTTTGTGTGGGTGAATGTGTGCCAGGGTGCCTAGTTGGGGGAAGGCTTCTGTTAACCCTTGGGTTGGGCACTAGGCCTGCCCTACCATGGGGCAAGGGCCTGATGCCAGCATGGTACCCCTGGCTTGCAGGTGCCCATCAGAAGCGACTGATCCCCATCAAGTACAAGGCAATGAAGAAAGAGTTCCCCAGCATCTTGAGGTTCATCACTGTCTGTGACTACACCAACCCCTGCACCAAGTCCTGGTTCTGGACTCGCCTTGCCAAGGCCTTGTCCCTGCCCTGAAGACTGCCCTGGGACCCTGAGTGTGTATGCATCTATCTGCCTGTCCACATACTTCTGCCCCTGCCTCCTTCTTCAGTTGTAGGGAGAATCTGTGCTCTACTTGCCTCTTAATTCCTGGAGATGCCAACTCCACAGACACATCTGCAGCTGCTGGGTATCATCGCATCCCATACCCTGCCTGGAACCAGTGGCTATGAGTAGCACGTCTACTTGCTGGGTTATCAGCCAGGACAGCGAAGAACAGGACCAGCTAGGACTAAGAGGAGGACCAGTAGAGCTAGCTCTGAGCCATTCACATATCTTTGGCCTCAGTTTCCCCACTTAAGAAGTAGAATAGGAGAACGGGCAGTAACTGTGTTCAAATGACTGGAGGAAATGATGAAGCATTGCTCCAGGTCTCCTGGGGGAGATAAATCTTGGCTGAGGGAGAGCTGGCCACTGCTGGGACCATGGCAGCAGCTTCCACAGTGGTGCCTACTGACACGTGAGTGCCTCGTTGCACACCTCACTGGGCAATGGGGAAGCAGGATGACCCAACAGAAGGAGATCCTACCTCGAGCCGATTCCCTAATGGGTCCACCTCTCATCTGCATCTTTGACTCCTCCCAGCCTCTGCCCCACCTTCAGCAGTGTCAAGTCCCTGAAGAGACTGGCATGTACAGCTGGGGCTGCTTTTCAGTTCCAC